GAGGCAGCGGGGAATGAGACGGTCCCGGAGGTTGTCACCACGTCAGGATACGCTTTGCTCCACTTTTTCAGCGACGCGGCTTACAACTTGACCGGCTTCAACATCTTCTACTCGTACGTATGCGATTGGATGCGCATAGGGAAAACTGTTACATTGTGTCTCTTGTCTGATTTTCTCTCCTCCTTCCTGCGCAGCATTAACTCCTGTCCAAACAACTGCTCGGGACATGGCAAGTGCACGACGAGCAGTTCGGTCCCTAGCAGAGTATACTGTGAATGTGACAAGTACTGGAAGGGCGAAGCCTGTGACATGCCGTACTGTAAGAACAACTGCGGCAGTCCTGACCACGGCTACTGCGACCTGACCGGGGAGAAGCTGTGTGTGTGCAACGACAGCTGGCAAGGTAGGTCTTTCTTATGGCTCCGCGGGGGCGGGACTTCTATATAGGCTGAGCGTACTCCTGTTGTGTCATACACATATTCTAACACGGGACATTCCAGCCATTTTTTTTTGTAATATATACCCACCCCTGAGGTGCTCAGATCCAAGTAGCACCCTATGGTGGTAGATCCCGCACTCTCTCGATGGACATGAATGTAAATGTGTGAAGTGGAGCTGAAGGGACACAACTGTACACCACAATTCTATCAAGTGTCTCTAAAGCAAGAGAGTGCTGGAGAGCTGCAAGAAACACCGGGTAGGGAAGTTTAAAGGAGAACTATGAGGTGAGTGATTTCCACTCCCCTCATAGTTCTAGCCGACCTGTGACAACGAGACTGTCACAGGTCGGCTCAGTAGATCGGGAGGTGAGAGAACACATACCGGGTTCGCTCACCTCTCTTCCGTGACAGGGGGAGGGGCTGGATTCCCCTCTCCCCGCTCCGATCTGCCAGCGCTGACGGGCGGAAGGGACGGGGGAGGGGGCGGGTACAGCTGGCTCTGCCTCTAGATAGGCAGAGCCAGCTGTCACTCACGCAGCTGGGCGGATCCCGTCATCGATGTCGGGATCCGCTCCGGCTGCGGCGTCTCAGTATACCGCGAGCTGTAGCTCCCTATATACTGAGCTTTGGGTGACGGAAGGACACTAGTTTGTGTCCTCCCGTTACCCTAAGGAGAACTATGGGGGAAAGCCCTGACCCCATAGTTCTCCTTTTAAGATTCCTTGTTCTGCCCTCCAGGGGCTAATCCTGTCCTCCTTGGGGT